GAAGTATTTCCTCTGGTATTTTATAGAAGATATTTTACAGAATTGGTCTCATTTGTTCCTTAAATGTTTAACAGAATTCACCAGTGAACCAGTGTTGGGCCTGGTGCTTTCTGTTTTGAAAGATTATTAATTATTTATTCAATTTCTTTAATAGATGTAGTCCTATTCAGATTAACTGCTTCTCCTTTTGTGAGTTTTGGTAGATTGTGTCTTTCAAGGGGTTGGTTCGTTTTCTCCAGGTTATCAAATTATGGATATACAGTTGTTCATAATATTCCTTTATTATCCTTTTAATGTCCATAGGATCTGTAGTGGTATCGTTTCTGATATTAGTAATCTGTGTCTTCTCTCTTTTTTTCTTAGTTAGCCTGGCTAGAGTCTAATCAATTTCATTGATCATTTCAATGACAAAGCTTTTGGCTTTGTTGCTTTTCTCTGTTGATTTCCTGTTTTTAATTTCATTTATTTCTACCCTAATTTTTTTTTATCTTTTCTTCTGCTTACTGTGGATTTAATTTGGGTTTTTTTGTTGTTGTTTGTTTGTTCGTTTTAGTTTCCTGAGAGTATTGATTTGAAATCTTTATTCTTTTCTAATATTTTTCCCTAATTTAGTTGCATCTCACAAATTTCGATTTGTATTTTCATTTTTGTTAAGTTTAAAATATTTTCAGGGCTTCTATGGTGGCGCAGTGGTTGAGAGTCCGCCTGCCGATGCAGGGGACACGGGTTCGTGCCCCGGTCCGGGAAGATCCCACATGCCGCGGAGCGGCTGGGCCCGTGAGCCATGGCTGCTGAGCCTGCACCTCCGGAGCCTGTGCTCTGCAACGGGAGAGGCCACAACAGTGAGAGGCCCGCGTACCGCAAAAAATATATATATATATTTTCAGTTTATTTCTTGAGATTTTGTTCTTGACCCATATATATTTAGAAGAGTGTTGTTTAACCACCACATATATTAGGAGTGTTCCAGCTGTCTTTCTGTTATTGATTTCTAGTTTAATTCCATTATGATCTGATAACATACTTTGTGTGATTTCTATTGTTTTTAATTTGTTAACATATGGTTTTAGGCCACAGAATATGGTATGTCTTGGTGAATGTTCTGTGTTAGCTTGAGAAGAATGTGTATTTTGTTGTTGTTGGATGAAGTAGTATATAAATGTCAATTGGATCCAGTTGATTAATGGTGCCGTTCAGTTCAACTATGTCCATACTGATATTTTGCCAGTCTGCCAGATCTGTCAATTACTGATAGAGGGATATTGAAATCTCCAACTGAAATAGTAGATACATCTGTTTCTCTTTACAGTTCTATCAGTTTTTGCCTTATGTATTTTGATGGTCTGTTGTTAGGCATACACACATTAGGATTATTATGACTTCTTGGAAAATTGACCTGTTTATCAATATGTCATGCCTCTTTATTATCCCTGATATTTTTTTCCTTAGTATGAAGTCTGCTTTGTCTGAAATTAATACAGCTACTCAAGCTTTCTTTTGATTTATGTTAGCATAGTATGTCTTTCTCCATCCCTTTACTTTTAAAGTATCTGTGTCTTTAGATTTAAAGCAGGCATCTTGTAGACAACATGTATTTGGGTCTTATTTTTTCTGACAGTCTGTCTTTTCATTGGTATAGTCAGATCATGGATGTTTAATGTGATTATTGATATAGTTGGATATCTATCATACCTACCATATTTGTTACTGTTTTCTATTCATTACCCTTGTTCTTTCTTTCTTTTTTTTGTCCTCCACTTGTTTTTTCTGCCATCTCTGGTTTTGAGTGACCATGTTATATGATTGCATTTTTCTCCTCTCTTAGCATATCAATTGAACTTCTTTTTTTTTTTAACTTTTATAAGTGGTTGTCCTTGAGTTTGCAGTTACATTTACCACTACTCTAAGTCTACTTTCAATGAGCACTTCAGGGGTTGGGAAAGTTCCTTATAACAGGGTTCCCAGTTCCTCCCTCCTGACCCTTATGCACTGCTGTCATTCATTTCAATTATCCATATGCTATGATCACTACATACACTATTGCTAATATGATACAGAACAAACTGTTACCTGTTAGATCAATTAACATTAAGAAAAATAAAATATTTTACTTTATCTCCATATATGCCTTCTCAAATGCTCTTTCTTTCCTTATGTAGATCTGAGTTTATAATTTAAATAAATTTCCTACTTTCTGAAGAACTTCTTGTAACATTTCTTGCAAGGCAGGTCTACCAGAGACAAATTTCCTAATTTTTGGTTATCTGAGAAAGTCTTTATTTTTCCCTCACTTTTGAAAGTTGGTATCACTGAACACAGAATTCTAGGTTGGTGGGGTTTTTATCTTTCGAAACTTTAAATATTCCATTGCACTCTATCCATGCTTGCATAGTTTCTGAAGAGTAGCTGATATAATTCTCATCATTGCTTCTGTGATTGATAGGTAAGGGTATTTTTTTCTCTGACTTCTTTAAAGAATTTCTCTTTGTCTTTGATTTTCTGCAGTTTGAATATGCTATTCCTGGGTGTGGATTTTTTAGTTTTATCTTGCTCAGTGTTCTCTGAGCTTCTTGGATCTGTGGTTTGGTGCTTATAATTAATTTTGGGAAATTCTCAGTAATTATTGCTTCACATATTTCTTTTCCTTTTTTTATTGTTCCACAATTCTTGGATATTCTCTTCTGTCTTTTTCATTCTTTTTCTTCTTTGCATTTCAGTTTGAGAAGTTTCTGTTGACAGTTCTTCAAGCTCACTGATTCTTTCCTTGGTTGTGTCCAGTCTAGGGACTTCCCTGGTGGTCCAGTGATTAAGACTCTGTGCTTCCACTGCAGGGGGTGCAAGTTCGATCCCTGGTTGGGGAACTAAGATCCTTCATGTCATGTGGCATGACCAAAAAAATAGGGGGAAAAAAAAAGGTTGTGTCCAGTCTATTAATGAGCCCATCAAAGGCAATCTTCATTTCTACTACAGTGTTTTTGATTTCCAGCATTTTGATTTTTTTCTTAGTTTCCATTACCCATCTGTTCTTGCATGTAGACAACTTTTTCCATTTGACCCTTTAGCATGTTAATCATAATTATTTTAAACTCTCCATCTGATAATTCCAACATCTCTGCTATATCCAAGACTGGTTCTATGCTTGCTTAGCCTCTTGCATCTGTGTTTTAAGTCTTTTAGTATGCCTTCTAATTTTTTGTTGAATGCTGCACATGATGTACTGAGTAAAAGGAACTGAGGGAAATATGCATTTAGTGTGAGGTTTTTTGTTTGTTGTAGGAGTTACACTGTGTTTACTGTTTGCTGTTAGTATAGGTGTTAGAGGCTAAAATTTCCTCTAGTGTCCTGGTTTTTGTCTCTGCTGTTGTCTTTGGGCTTCCCTTGAGAATTCTTAAATACATTCTGAGATGTGCAGTTATTTTAGTGTATTCCCTTGTTATGATATAAGAGCCCTTTTGATGTGGTGGTAGGGTATGGGAGTATGGGGAGCATTTTGTAGTCCTATGATTAGGTCTCAGTCTTTTAGTGACCCTGTGCCCCTTGGCTATGTCCTTCACAAGTGTTTCTCAGTCTCCCCCTCCCCTTAAGTGAGATGGCAAGGCTAGGAAGCTGGAGTTGGTTTTTTTCCCTTCCCCCAGGTCACTTAGGTTCTGAAAAAAAAACATGTTTTTTAGGCTCTGGTAAGATAGTTTCTCTTGAGGCAGGCCTGGTTAAAAAGAACAGAATGCTTTTTGGTTACTTTTCTTCTCCTACTGGAGGAAGCAGGAGGGGGATTTTCTCTAGTCTTTGCTGTAAGAACCTGGTAGTGTCATATAAAAGTGTAGGAGACACCTTCCCCCCAGAGATTGGGTCCTCCTGGAGTTTTTAACTCAAACTGGCCTACACTAAGCTTCCAGCATTTCATCAATTACTTTATTGATATATTTTTCTACCCTGGCACTGGTCCCCCCAGAAGTTTCTGCCCTGGTAGATTGTGGTTCTCAGAAGTGCCTGTCTGTCTTTCCATTTTGAGGGATAATAGTTTTCCCTGTGACCTTATTTCTCTGATGGATCTAAGAAGAGTCGTTGATTTTTCAGTTTGTTCAGCTTTTTTTCTTATTGTGAAGATGGGATTGATGTCTTCCAAGCTGCTTATATGTCAGACCAACAACTGGAAGTATGCAATGTTTAATTACAGTTTTCAATTACAGCTTTGACTTTTTTTCTGAATAAAATAATTGAATGGAATTTTCATATATTGTACAATAGTTTTTTGCACAAGCAGTATAATAAAAAATGACTGCACAATTATATTGGTAATGAAGATTAAGTTAAGTATTGTACCATCAATATATCAATATTTTTCACATTTTTTCAGGGTGAGATGTAACTTGATAGCTTTTCTAATTGCTGTATACTGGTAATTCTTTGTATTATGCCCTGCACGGCCAAGGAAACACTCTTTAAGAGCTCTCCACCAAACAATTTCACTCATAACTTCCTTCCATCTGGCTAGCAGTTCATAGATATTCATTGTAACTTTCCTTGCCTTTCTATCTCAGTGTCCTCTATTATCTATGTAGTCCTCTGTCAATTTTCAACAAGCTATTGGCATTTGATCAAGAATAATAATCTTACCTTATTTTTCAGCAGTCTACCTCATTCTTAAAAGTCTTTTAGATAAACCTTTTAATTAAAGCATTTCTGTAAGCCTGCAAAAAATTGTCAGAAACCACACAGTCCTGTGATATGGCCATTAGCAAGTCCTCTACTATCTTCCCCCAGCCTTCTCTTTGTTAGCTAATGCTTGAGCTTCTTTCCTTGTCTAGATGTAATTATAATATTTCTGAAAAGGGGTAGACAGCATCAGTCTTCCATGCTTTATATCATATTGGATCATCTAGTAATCAACAAAAAAAAGCACTACTTAAAATTGCTTAATGTATGCAGTCCACAAGTGGCATTTCTTAAAATAAAAGAAAAAAATGTGTAATGTATTTGGTTTTTGTTTCTGTTTTTTATAGGAGGAACTCTCTGGAATGAAAAATAGGGTACAAGTAATTGTGCTTGAAAATGAAAGGCTCCAACAAGAGCTGAAATCTCAAAGGCAAGAGGAAGCAATGAGGGAACAAACACTTCTGGATGCATCTGTGAGCATTTATTTAAACGATTAAACTAAAATACATAGTTTGAATGTTGCCTCCTACCCTTTCCCCCTGCCTTCTTAATTGCATAGATTTTTTTTTTTCTGGCAGTTCGGCAGAAGTGCTATGCTGGTATTCACTTGGGGCCTCAAAAATTAAAATTCACTATTTTAATTTATTGGTGGAATGAATCCTCAAATGAAATGATGTAATGATGCCTAATATCCACTCCAGTTTCCTTTCCGAGCATACCATTTATGTTTTTTCCATATGGAAAGAGCAGGTCTGAAAGCAGGGAGTATGTAATATAGGAAGGACTTGGTTAAATCCAGCAACTGTTCAGAACTGTAGCTTAGATTTCTGTTGTATTTCTCTAAATTTTCTTTGGACTTTCAATTCCAATAAGTCTAGTTAGCATGGTGTAGCAGGAAGAACACTGACCTGAGGGTCCAAGATTCAAAATGTTAATCTTCCCATTGTCCCTAACAAGCTGGGTGTTGAACAAGTAATTTTATGGGACTTTCAAGCATGAAACCTCATGAGTCCTCTGTTTATTTATTGGCATTTGAGAAATTCACCAATATTAGCAGTTCTTAACCTTTAATGTGAATGACAGTCACTTGGGATATTTGCTGACAGTGCAGATCCTGGGCTTCATTCCCTGAGAGTCTGGTTCAGTTGGTCTGGGCTAAGTCTTTGAGTTAAAAATATGAATTATTAGCAAGCTGCCAAAGTGAGTCTAGTATCAGTGGAGCACATTTTGAGGAACAGAGAATTAGATGATCTCTATAATTCTGTGACATAAAATTTTTATGATGATATTTAAATAAAGTTTAAGCTTAATATCTTTTTATGAATTATCAGAGATACTTTTGCCTTCAAAATGTTTTTTACTCCTTTGCTATGGGATGTAGTTAATCACAGCTTATATTATTATATTATTAATATTAGTACTTAAAAATTTCATCTTAGTTTCTTATTATTTTGGTGTCAATTTGAAAATGATATAGCCATATAGAAAGTACTTAGAAGTAAGTTCATTTTTAAAATAAAGTATATTCTTTTGCTTTTCCTCCAAATATGCAGCGAACAGTGACTCAGTTATTCATAGTCTTCAATATTTATACAATGGAAAGAAGTGGAAGATGGGGAAGTGAAATAAGAAAGGAAATTAGGCAGACAAGTGAATCAGAGGGCAAGAGAAGTGAGTAATGCAAAAGGGGAAGGAAATGATGGTAAACGCTCATATGCTTTGCCATGTGAACAAAGGAAACTTGCTAAAGAAAACTACAGATATACAGATTATAGAAGGGATAAAGTTGTAGAGAGGTTTTTGTTTAAACATTCACATGAGCTAAAACATAGTGCTAATATTGAAACAGTTGTAGCAGATGTGTCAGGTGACCTTGATATCTATTTTAATGTTAGTCTTCTGTGTTATTTTGTTGTTACAGAATTGTTGCCCCCACTTTTTACTTGTGTAGGTGAATTGAGGCATTTCAGCAACCTATGCATGGTGTTGTATTGAGAGTTTTGAGGTAAATGAAACTATTTAGAATATCTTGAATATAAACAGATCAAGAGATATTATCTTCTTTTTTTTCTGCACTCTTTTTAATGAGCCTATTACCATGTTGATGGTAAATCTTGCCAAAGCTGTTGGTAGATTTGAATATATATTTTCAAAGTTTCTTAATGCTTTCTTTGGAAAAACAATTGAAATAGTTATATAGTAAGAATTAGTATTTATTGATGACTACATGGCTGTGATATGCCAGGTACTGTATCAAGTACTTTCTTTACATTATATTATTTCCATTTTATGATAGCCACACAAGACAGGTGTTGTTATGTCTATTTTCAGGTGATTAAATTAAGGTACACAGCAGTTAAGTAACCAAAGCAACTGGTCTAATGTCACAAAGCTGGGACTCAAACAAAGGACTATCTGACTCCACAAATCCATCTACCTGGCCTCGAATTACACTGCCTTTCTGCCTAGATTAGGAATAGCTTGTCAATATTGAACCAAACCATCTTCGTTTGCAATGGACTGGGACTTGGATGGCAGCCTACATGACTTTGAGCTTTTAGCCTAGTTTATGACCTAGCAGTTGAAGAAGCAAGCAGATTATTTCTAAAAAACTAAAACCATTCAAAGAGTACTTCATTTCCATCTTCATTTTTCATCATTTTTCCTTCTTAAGGGGCTTTTCTTGAGAGTTCAAAAAATTATATTAAAATATGCTTTTTATTAGAAAATTTGGCATGTGTGGTCAATCAAAGATCTAGGAGATTTTTTTTAAAGTAGAAAATTTCTGAGCCATTTCTTTCCATGTCTCTTCTCATCCCCATCCATTCCAACCCCTCCCCTCAGTTAAGAAATCAAAGGTTTTCAGTGATCTTCAGGGATGTAAATGTAATTTGATTTTTGAAATCTTGGTCAAATATCATTCGAGTTTTTTAAAAGCTATCTGTGAAAGAACAAAGTGTCAATTAGATTAGCACTTCTTTCCAAAGAATAACAATATTTTATATCATAAGTCAGTGATCTATAGTCTACACACTGTCTCCAATTTCTCCGTAGGAAATTAGTACCACCCTCCTTCATTGCTCTGCAAGACTATTTTGAATGCAATCACATCTTGGGTGATTTTTTTCCCTACCTACAGAATCAAGTTCAAGCTTATTAACATTGCACGCTTTACGTTTCAGACCCTTATTTAACTCTCTAGCTTCTTCCTTTTTTTGTTTTTTAATTCTTTTATTGAAGTATAGTTGATTTACAATGCTGTGCCAAACTCTGCTGTACACAAAGTGACTCAGTTATACACATACAGACATTCTTTATTATATTCTTTTTCATTATGGTTTATCACAGGATATTGAATATAGTTCCCTGTGCTATACATTAGGACCTTGTTATTTATCTATTCTAAATGTAATAGTTTGCGTCTACCAACCCCAGAGTCCCAGTCCATCCCTCTCCCTCCCTCCTCCCCCTTGGTAACCACAAGTCTGTTCTCTATGTCTGTGAGTCTGTTTCTGTTTTGTAGATAGGTTCACTTGTGCCATACTTTAGATTCCACATATAAGTGGTATCATGGTATTTGTCTTTCTCTTTCTGACTTACTTTACTTAGTATGATAATCTCTAGTTGCATCCATGTTGCTGCAAATGGCATTATTTCATTCTTTTTTATGGCTGAGTAGTATTCCATTGTATATATGTACCACATCGTCTTTATCCATTCATCTGTCGATGGACATTTAGGTTGTTTCCATATTTTGGCTGTTGTGAACAGTTAGAGCTTCATCTTCTGACATTCATTGCCTTGTGCTTCAACCTTTAGTAATGCTGAATTGCCTACAGGTCTCTGGCAGGCACCATGCTGTTTCACGCCTCTGTGAGTTTTCTCATGATGTTCTCTCTTCTTGGCATGCCCTTCCCATCTAGCTTACTCTTTTTCACCCTTCAGATATCATACCAGTGTCAAAACTTCTCCAGAAAACTTTCCTTGAATCTCCAGTTGCTCTTAGTATCCCTCTTCTGTTCTGGCGTAGTCCCCCATGCACACCTCTGGCCTAGCACTTGCCTTGTTAAATTGAAATTATCTGCTTGGGTGTTTCTCTTCTTCATTAGTCTGTAAACTCCTTGAGGATAATATTGGTCTTGCTCATTTTTACCCCCCTCCCCAAGCTTTTAGCACAGTGCCTGAACATAGTAGGTACTACACAGATGTTTGCATTAAACTGAACTTCCCAAAGAATATGGAATAGAATCTCAGAATACTACTTTGGATGAATGCAGTTTACTACATTCTAACATATGACACTGCAGTATACTTCTGTGTTTGGGGACATGTCCTCTCTTATTAATACTACTGTGTCCCTTGGCCCTTAGCAGGAGTTCAATAATTACTTGTTGAGTAAATTAATATAAGTATTTTAGTTCTTGATTCACACATAAATCACCCAGTTCTTTGGGCTGCTTATTTCATTGAATGTTGAAAGAATGCCAAAGTTCGCAAGCTGACAGTGGGTTCACCAAATTCAGTCTGTAGGCATGTTTTGTTTGTTTGAAAAACTGACTCAATATTTAACACTGTTTCAGTTGAAGAGCCAGATATCTGCCTCATCTTTTTAAAAATCAAAAGATTTTTTGGTAATGTGAGTTGGTATTCCCACATGGCAGCCATTGACTGAAACTGAGTAGTGACTACTTCCTTTGGTTGCTCTGTCATGGCCCCAACCATTACTTTCTGAGTCCTTGACGTTCAGGCTGCATGTCAGTTCTATTTATCACCATGCACTGTTTTTCTTATTGAAGAGAAATAATTTTCTGAAAAGGCAGAAGAGCATAGTGGTTTAGGACTTTGGAGCTAGAATGCCAGGATTCAGATCCTAGCTCTGCCACCTATTAGCCGCTTTCTACCTCTGTGACTTTTAGCAGTTACTCTGTGTGACTCAGTTTCCCCATCTATAAAATGGAGATAACAGTGAAACTTCTCTCATAGGATTGTTGTAATGATTAAATGTGTTAATATATGTGGAAGACATAAAACGGTGTCTGGCACATAGTAAACATAAACATCATATGTATTATTATTATTATTAGTCATGCCTTTATGAAATGTGGAAAATGAAAAACAAACCAAGAGAGGTTTATGTGTTTCAAGAGTATATGTCTTCAAAGAAGTAAGAGATAAGTTCATTTGTTCAATATACTGATATCTACCCCTCTTTGCTCATTTACATTATTGCCTATACCTATAGGAATGTGACTTTGTAACACTTGTTTGGAATATGACCCTAATAGCTTGAAAATGTAAAATAATTCTTGATTTGTATTTAGAAGCATCTGCTCTTTTTCTTATTCCTTTCATCACAGATAATAATCAGTATTCCATTTGTAAAGTACGTATATTGATTTAAAGTTAAAGGTTGAATGCAAGTACTTTCACATTTTATTTTAGGGAAACATACAGAATTCTTGGATTACAACAGGTGAAGATTCTAGGGTGGATGAAGCTGCCAAGAGATCATTTTCCCATGGGAATGCAGATATTAACAAAGCTGCATCTGCTAGTGAGGCTGAAAAATGGAAACTAGAACTGGTGAGTATTTGGGTACTTCTCTCTTAGGCACCTACTTTTTTGGGTACTTTTTTATTGTGGTAAATATATATAACACAAAATTTGCTATTTTAACCATTTAAAAATTTAAGTGTATAATTTATTTACACTAAGTACATTCACAGTGTTGTGCAACATCAACACCATTCATTTCCAGAACTTTTTCATTATCCCAAACAAAAACTCTACCCATTAAACAATAACTCCCATTCACTTCTCCTTGCAACCCTTGGTAACCTCTTCTACTTTCTGTGTTTGAGTTTGCCTATTCTAGGTACTTCACGTAAGTGGAATCAAATAATATTTCTCCTTTCATCTGGCTTGTCTCATTTAGCATAGAGTTTTCAAGTTTCATCCATGTTGTAACATGTATCATAATTTTATTCCTTTTTTTAAAATTTTATTTATTTATTTTTGGCTGTGTTGAGTCTTCGTTTCTGCGCGAGGGCTTTCTCTAGTTGCAGTGAGTGGGGGCCACTCTTCATCACGGTGCACGGGCCCCTCACTGTCGCGGCCTCTCTTGTTGCTGAGCACAAGCTCCAGATGCGCAGGCTCAGTAGTTGTGGCTCATGGGCCCAGTCACTCCGTGGCATGTGGGATCCTCCCAGACCAGGGCCCAAACCCGTGTCCCCTGCATTGGCAGGCAGATTCTCAACCACTGTGCCACCAGGGAAGCCCCTCATTTCTTTTTAAGGGTGAATAATATTCCATTGTACATATATACCACACTTTGTTTATCCATTCATTTGTTAATGGATTTGGGGGGGTTTCAGCCTATTGGCTATTGTGAATAAGGCTGCTATGAACATTGATGCACAAGTATCTGTTTGAGGCCATACTTTCAAGGCATTTGGGTATATACTCAGAAATGGAATTGTTGGATCATTTGATAATTCTTCATTCTTTTTTCTTTCTGCTTCTCAGACTCAATAATTTCAATTTTCCTATCTTCAGATTTACTGATTCTTTGTTCTGCTGCCCATATCGTCCCTAAAATCTCTTTAGTGAATTTTTCATTTTAGCTTTTAGTTGTTTTCATCTCCAGAATTAGTTTGGTTCCCTTTTATAATTTGTTTTCCTGACTTCCTTTAGTTCTTTGTCCATGTTTTCTCTTAGCATTTTGAGCATATTTAAGACAGTTGTTTTAAAGTTTTGGTCTAGTAAGTCTGATGTCTATAGTTTCATAAGCATTGTTCTTGTAAATTTATTCTATTTCATTGAGTGAGCCATGTTTTCCTCTTTCTTTGTATGCCTGGTGATTTTTTTTGTTGTTGAAAATTGAGCATTGAAGTGTTATACTGTGGTAACTCTGGAAATCAGATATCCCATTTTTTTAAGGTTTGTTGTTTTTTTTATTGTTGAAGGCTGTAGTAGTCCTTTTGTTTTAAGAGTTTTCCAAACTATTTCTGTAGAAACTATTCCTTGTCATGTGTGATCATTGAGGTCTCTGTTTCATTAGCTCATGGTCAGCTGATGTTTGACAGATTTCTTTGCCAGGAGCTGAAACAAACAACAACAAGAAAAACACCAAAAAGCCCCCCAAAATAGAAGAACAAACTCTCCAAGTCTTTGCAGTTTGGCTGTGCTGGTCTTCACCATTCAGCTAGGCTTGCTCTGAGCCTAGAGATCAGCCTGAGTGAAAGCTTCAGGTCTTCTTAGGACTTTTCTGAGCATGCATTTTCCCTGGGCATGTTTGTGGCTTTCTAAATATCCCCTATACACAGATGCTTTTGAATGTCCTAATTTCCCAAAGAGTCTAAAATAATTCTATTTTAAGATCAAATGATACTTTTAAGTCCTCTGATCTGGGTAAAAACAACACCAAAAATGGAATGTTCTAGGGAATATAGAGGGAATCACAGTTCTGCTGTCATTATCATCTACAGGTGTTGTTATAGTTTTCTAAAGGCTCTTTCTGGCCCAAATCTCCCTGCTCTTTCTCATTCCCTAATCCAAGCTTTATTCTACTATTTAGGAAAGAGTTCCTTTCTTTAAAAAAAAAAATCTGAAAGACTAAATTATATGTTTTTTTCCAGCTGAATAAACTATAATATCTACTTAATACCCATAGGATTAAGACCAGTCTCCCAAGCCATCTACAATTTACTTCAAACTACATTTCCAGACTCACTTCTCACTCTTCTGTCACGTTCACAAGTATTGGCTATAAGCATGCAGACTACTCACTACTTGCTACTTCATAAACTTATTTCCCAATTCCATTTCTCTTTGAAGAATTGACTTTGGTTTATGCAATCATCCCTACCTAAAATGTTTCCTTCTTATCCTCTACATATTTAAATGTTTCCAGCCTGCCAAACTTAGTTCAAGTGTCCCCTCCCATTCTACCTTCCCTGATTACATGCTTCCATTCCTCCTTTTCTCGCATTAGAATTATTTTCCCTCTTATGTCTTCTCTTAGTGTTCTATTTATAACTATTATAGGTTCATTGTTTTTATCCTGTGTGTGTCAAAGGTCACATCTGTGTGCATTTGTGTGCTTTATGTTCCAAATCTTTCTCACTTTTTTCAAGGATTTCACTCTTACACTTACCTCCTCTTGTTCTTGTATCTTTTATCCCTCGTGACTGGTTTATTTTCAGCCAAATATGTGCCTTACTAGCTCCCATCTACAAAGCAAACAAACACAAAATATATTCTCTTCGTCCTACATTTCCTTTGAACTATCACCCAGTTGCTCCCCTTCATCCCAATGTCTTTCCAAACAGTTGTCTATACTCATGCCTCTGTTCTTCACCTCCCATTCTCTCTTCAACATACTTTATTTGAGCTTCTCCCCACCTATACTCCCCTAAAATGTTTCTTTTCAAGGTCATTAATAACCTCCACATATCAGTCCTCATCTTCCTGAACCTTGGAGCAGCATTCTATAATATGTACGTTAGTTCATCATACCATCCTTTGATTTTTCTAATGAAAGAATTTTTTTTTTTTTTGCGCTACGCGGGCCTCTCCCGTTGCGGAGCACAGGCTCCAGACGTGCAGGCTGAGCGGCCATGGCTCACGGGCCCAGATGCTCCGCGGCATGTGGTATCTTCCGGGATCGGGGCACGAACCCATGTCCCCTGCATCAGCAGGCAGACTCTCAACCACTGCACCACCAGGGAAGCCCTCTAATGAAACAATTTAACATAAATTCAGAAAAGTGTGCAAAACAAAAATGTACAGCTTAATGATATATCTCCAAATGAACAAGCATATAATTGTCACCTGTAAGATGTCTAACATTACCATGTCCCAGAAGCCCTGTTCATGCCCACTCCCAGTCACTGCCCCTTCATTCTCTTAAAGCTAATCACTATCTTGACTTTTATGAAAATTGATCTCTAAGCATGATCCCCAAACACTCGAATTGATTTCTGCCTGGCTTTTAAAACATTACATAAATTGAATCACGTAGTACATACTCTTTTTTGTCTAGACTTTTTTGTTCAACATTATATTTGATAGATTCATACATGTAGTTGCATGTGTTAGAAGTTTGTTTATTTTCATTGATGGGTCTACTGTATGACTATAACACAATCTATGTATCCATTCTATTGTTGAAAGACATTTATATTTTTTCAGTTTTCAGGGGCTATTGTGAATATTGCTGCTGTGAACATTCTTTTATATGTCTATTGGTGTGCGTTGTATACATTTACGTTGGGTATGTACCTTGGTGTGGCACTGTTGGTCGTAGTGTATATATATGTTCGATTTGAGAGATAAGGGCAAACTTTTCGAAGGTGGTTTTTACCAGTTTACACTTCTGTCAGCAGCATATGAGTGATACCATTGCCCTGTATCCTTGCCAACACTTGATATTCTGTTTTTCTGATGGGCTTGTAGTGCCATCTCATTGTGATTTTCATTTTCATTTCTCTGATTACTCATGTGATTGAATATCTTCTCATATATTTATTGGCCATTTGATGTGCTCTTTTGTGAGATGCCTGTTCTAATATCCTACTTATTGTTTTGAATTATCTGTCAATGTTTTTTTGAAGTTCTTAATATATTATGGATGCAAGCCCTTTGTTGGTTATATCTGTTAAAACATATTTTCTTACTTTTATGGCTTGCCTTGGAACTCTCTTGAGAGTTTTCGTTTTCTCTTTCTTGATTAGAATTTCTTAATTTTAATGTGGTCCAATTTATCAGTGTTTTCCCTTTATTTTTTTAGTGCCTTTTGTGTCCTATATAAAAAGTGTTTCCCTACCCCCAAGTCATGAAGATATTCTCCTATATTATCTTTCAGAAACTTTATAATCTTGCTTTTTACATTTAGAACTACAGTGTATGTGGAATTTATTTTTGTATCTGATGTGAAGTGTAGGGGGTTACTTCTTCCATAGGGTTATTTATATATCACAGCACCACTGTTGAAAAGACAATCATTTGCCTGCCACGTTTGTTATAAATCAGGTGTGTGTATATGTGTGAGTCTGTTTCTGGGCTTTGTGTTTTATTTCCTTGGTGTCTGTGCTACTACTTCTTTGTGCTACTACTATTCTGTCTTGATTCTTATAACCCTGCATCTGGTAGACCAAGTCTTCCAACATTGTTCATTGACCTGAAGAATGTCCTGACTGTTTCTTGCCTTTTGCATTTACAAGTACATTTTAGAGTTAATTTGTCAAGTTTCAAAAAGCCATTAAGTGGTTTTGATTGAGATTACATTTTAAGGTATAGGTCATTTTTTGGGGGGAGGAATTGATATCTTTACAGTAATATATTGTGAAATATTAAAATCATGTATCACTCTATTTAGGTCATCTTTAATTTTTGTCAATAATCTTTTATAATTTCTGAGTAAAGGTCTTACACATCTTCCTTTAGAATTAATTTCTAGACTAGTTATGATATTATCATAAACAACATACATATTTAAAATTTTTCATTTTATAACTCCTCAATGCTGGTATAGAGAAAAGCACATGGTTTTTTGTATTTTGACTGATTCCTACTTTATTTTGAAAGTAGTGTTAGCAGGGTATTTTTCCCCTATCCTTTTACTTTTAACATAGTTGTATTTTCATATTTAATATGCGTTTCTTGTGGACAGCATATAGTTGAGTTTTGCTTTTTTTATCCAGTCTGACAATATCTTTCCTTTAAATGTGATTATTTATATACTTGGGTTTAAATCCACTATCTTGCTGTGTCTTTTTTTACCCCATCTACTATTTCTTCACCTTTTTTTTTTCTGCCTTCTTTTGAATTAGTTGAACATTTTAATGGTTCTATTTACCTCCTTTTCTCAGTCTGGAAAAATCTTTAGCATCAGCTTTCACCTGGTTGCTCAATTCAGCAACCCAGGGTTATTTTTAATGTCTTTTTCTCCCCCACATCTATTCAATCATGAAATTCTGTCAACTTTACATGACATGATAGAAAGCCTAGAAGGGAATATAGGCAAATCATTCTCTGACATAAATTGTAGCAATATTTTCTTAGGTAAGTCTCCCAAGGCAAAAGAAATGAAAGCAAAAATAAACAAGTGGGACCTAAAAGATTTTGCACAGCAAAGGAAACCAGCAACAAAACCTATGGAAAAGGAGAAAATATCTATAAATGATGTGACCAACAAGGGGTTAATATCCAAAAATACAAACAGCTAATATAACTCAATATCAAAAAAACAAACAACCCAATAAAAAAATGGGCAGAAGACCTAAATAGACATTTTCCCAAAGAAGACATACAGATAACCAACAGGCACATGAAAAGAGATTGTTAGAGAAATACAAATCAAAACCACCATGAGTTATCACCTCACACTGGTCAGAATAGCCATTATCAAAAAGTCTACAAATAGGGGCTTCCCTGGTGGCACAGTGGTTGAGAGTCTGCCTGCCGATGCAGGGGACACGGGTTTGTGCCCCGTTCTGGGAAGATCCCAAATGCCGTGGAGCGGCTAGGCCTGTGAGCCATGGCCACTGAGCCTGTGCAACCAGAGCCTGTTCTCCGCAACAGGAGAGGCCAGAACAGTGAGAGGCAAAACGTCTACAAATAATAAATGCTGGAGAGGGTATGGAGAGAAGGGAACCCTCATACACTGTTGGAGGGAACGTAAACTGGTGCAGCCACTGTGGGAAACAGGATGGAGGTTCCTTAAAAAACTCAAAATAGAGCTACCATATGATCCAGCAATCCCACTCCTGGGTATTTATCTGAAAAAAATGAAACCTCATATTTGAGAAGACACATGCACCCCAATGTTCATAGCAGCACTATTTACAATAGCCAAGACGTGGAAACAACTCAAGTGCCCATCAACAGACAATTGGCTTAAGAAGATATGTGTATATATATATACATAGATAAAATGGAATATTACTCTGCCATAAAAAGAATGAAACATTGCATTTGCAGCAACATGGATGGGCCTAGAGAATATTATACTTAGTGAAGTAAGTCAGGCAGACAAATACAAACACTATATGATATCACTTATATGTGAAATCTAAAAAATAATACAAATGAATCTATATACAAAACAGAAATAGACTCACAGACATAGAAAACAAACTTATGGTTACCGAGGGAGGGAAGGAGAGACAAATTAGGAGTATGGGATTAACAGATGCAAACTCCTATGCATAAAATAAATAGGCAAGAAGGATTTACTGTATAGCACAGGGAATTATATTCAATATCTCATAATAACCTATAATGGAATGTAATCTGAAAAAATGTATATAATTAAATCACTTGGCTGTGGACCTGAAACATATACAATATTGTAAATCAACTATACTTTAATAAAAAAATAAATAAAACAAAATAAAATTTAACACTAAGACTTCCCTGGTGGTGCAATGGTTAAGAATCCGCCTGCCAGTGCATGGGACATGGGTTCAAGCCCTGTTTGGGGAAGATCCCATATGCCGCAGAGCAACTAAGCCTGTGCACCACAATTACTGAACATGCCCTCTAGAGCCTGTGAGCCATAACTACTGAGCTCATGTGCCTAGAGCCCATGCTCCACAACAAGAGAAGCTACCGCAATGAGAAGCCTGTGCACCTCAATGAAGAGTAGCCCCCGCTCACCACAACTAGAGAAAGCCCGCGCACAGCAGCAAAGACCCAATGCAGCCAAAAATAAATAAATAAAATAAATAAATTTATAGAAAAATAAATAAATAAAATTTAACACTAAAGAGAAAAAAATTCAATTTTACTTTTATACTGCTTTGTACTAAATCTTTTTTATCTTTGTTGCTTGATTTCTCTTGTTCATGCACTTATCTCTCACCTATTGATGTTTATTTGCAATGTCTTCATTTGTGATGATCCCCTTTTTCCACACTTCAGAGTAATTTAAGATTCAATACTGATAAAAAGATTTCAATGTCCATCTAATACATCAACTACATAGAGACTTTTATTTAGTTGTATAGACTAAATAAAAGTCTTCATATTTTTATTCTTCTCACTGACCACCTTACCTAATCAGCCCATCTCTATCTACGCTTCCACCTAGCAATCTACATTCTAGTGATACTGATTGGCCAAATATATAGCATGCCTTCTCCAGCTTCTGTGCCTTTTGCTCTATTGGAAATCATCCTTCAAGTCTTTGCATCTCCTCCAATGAAGGCTTCTGTACTTCTCTTCAGCTGAATTACGAGTTCCTGCCTTTCTGATTTCATTTTACCTTCTGTATTTTCATTAGAGTAAATTATAAATAGTTGTAATTGTTCATCTGTCTTTCTGTTCCTTCTTAAATCTCCTGGAGGTTAGTGGTGTCTTCGTCTTAGAAACCCAATAAATATATGTTGAATTAAAGAAAAACTGGATGTCAGCAGAGGCTTGTAGATTGTATATCACTTTGGTCTGTCGTCCTGTGATTTATAGCATCCTTTTTATCATTCATCCGGCACATATTTTTTGGTATGTCAGCTATGCAGCAGTCACAATGGGAGATTCCAGGAAGATTTGATTCTTGTCCTCATGGACCTTACAGGTTATAATTGGTTTTGCCTAGAGTCACACTTTTTTAAAAATAAGAACTGATGTATGCAATTTTGAAAAAAAATTTTTGTTAGTAATCACCATTTCATGACTCAGTAGTTCTCTGCAGGCTTCTGCTCAATAAAAATAAGAGTATTTGGGGTGGACTAGGGAACGTGATTCCAGAGGGGACACAATGATTTTCCTCTTGGGTAAAAAGAAATGAATTTAATATTAATAATTAAAATTTGCTTATAAAACACAGGGCATGGAGAAATATACTTTTTTTTTTCTTTTCTAAAGGAGAGACTAAAACTTACTTATGAGGAAAAGAGTAAAATCCTGGAATCTCAATTGATGTTTTTGAGGTAAAGTATTATCATCTATTTAAAGTTATTGGCAAAACCATAATGATCTTAAAAATATGTTTGAATGTTTGCTGAAATGCCAGTTTTAGTCAGCATAGGAATTACTTGATGATATTTTATATGCAATATATGAAATTTGCCAAGAATGGTAAAGGATAAGGGGATTTGTGAAGTCCTTTTTCAAATCCCATTTCAAAGAACTGTGAGCTAAATTATAAATTTTATCCCTTTATCAGTTGTAAAATATTTGTGTTTTCCCATAGAAAAAAGAATCAGAAGCTGCTCTTATGGAAATTATGTTTTTAAAATAAAATAGTATAAATAAAGCACTTTAATTTTCAAATTACAAGCAAGTATTTTTTTCCTCTGTAGGTAGTCTTCGTCTAATTTTTAAATTGCAACAATAATATAATAGTTTGAGTATTTGTATACATGGTGAATTTGAGTATATATGAATTTTCATGTACTTTTTGATATGTTATCAAAAATCCCAATAAAACCTATATATTATAGATTAACCATTAGTGCTTTGTTATATGAGTAGGAAAAGATAGGAGTTAATTTTTTTAAATTAAAGGTTAATTGAAATAGTGGTAATGAAATATTTTCAAGTGGAATAACCTTTAAAATATTTTTATAATTTTATTTTAATAAGTCCAGTTTGAAATAAAATTTAACATCTTCCAGGCTGTACATTGTCTAGAGACATAACTAGAGTAATACTAAGAACCAGAACTCATGGCTTTTGTTGCAAATGTTATTATTCATTTATTTTAATATACTCTTATGCTTTTCATGCCTCATAAGGTTGAGGATTTCTCTAGGATCTTTACTAGAGCTTTCATGAAGAAACCTAAACTTTTAAAAGGTGGTCTAATTTTTGGTTTCTTGATTTGCTATATGTTGATTTCTATTGTGTTTTGGTTCTTCAGTTTTTAAAGTGATATATTTCTAGGTCATTATATTTTTGGGAATGTGACTTATTTTGTCTCATTCACAATTCAACTATGCAATCTTTAATTACATTAAAACGTCACTTTGCAATGGACCAGACTTTGTTTCCTGCATTCTTCTGTTTCCTCATTTTCTTCTAGTATAATTTAAGATTATTTGAAGCAGCATTTTCTTAAAGAAAGAAATAAAATCACTACTCTTATAAACTCTGGTTTTATGTTACCTATTTGTTTTTAATTTTCTTTTTGCCATTTCATGTAACTGAATCTACTTGAGTGTTTTGAATTTGAACCTGACAGAAATAGTAATGGAGACTCTGACTTTGGAATGTACTTCTAAAGTTCTTTTTAAGCCTTTGAAAGTCAGACTTTTTCTACATGATAAGTAGAAAGAAAACTTATTATGTTGTAGATATCATCTTGGGAATAGGACATCAACAGCTCCTATTTTTCTGCTTCAGCGTGTCATTAGATTAGCTTTTTTTAACCCTTAGATTTCCTGTAGATCTTTCCCACCTCTCCCAGGCTGTCTCAAAGCCCCCTAAATCCCAAGAGTCGAGGTAGTATGTGACAGCCAGGTGTCTTGATTATTGGCTTCTCCTTTGTGACAGTGAACAAATTAGGATGGCTATAAATCTCTGAATTTAATAGAAACAGCAGAGAGTAGTCTGAGCCAGAGATAAAGTGCCTGCCTTCAGCAGTCTAAGAATTTAAGAACAACTTTTTCCTTTTTAAGTTAGGAAGTTTTAAAAAAATACAACATGAAAGGGATGTGTATGCAAGGAAGCTCAGTTTACCCAAGTTGACTTTACCAAAGCTTTTTTGGGGAGGGGGAGGAAAATACAACCCATATACTGGTCTTTTAATCCTTGACAAGTCAACTTGGAGAAAAACCTCATCCAAGAGCTATCCCATTAAAACAAACAAAGAGCACACACACACAGTTCCTCAGCCCTTTCTTTACCAAGTTGCATATTTCCAGCTAATAGCTGCTACTTATGAAATCTTATGTCTGGCAAGTTCTAGCTTCTTTCTGTAGCCCACTCTCTTTTGAAGCAGTTCTTTGTAGATTAGATAATTTTTTTTGAATTTTATTTTATTTATTTTTTTATACAGCAGGTTCTTGTTAGTTATCTATTTTATACATATTAGTGTATATATGTCAATCCCAATCTCCCAATTCATCCCACCACCACCACTGCTCCCCCACCCACTGCTTTCCTCCCTTGGTGTCCATACATTTGTTCTCTACATCTGTGTCTCTGGATAATTTTCTTTTTTTTTTTACTGAAGAAAAATGAACAGTAATAAATTACTCATGCATAAAATCCATTTTCTTTATGTGATCTTTTAAGGTTGTCTTTACAAATTTTAAGGGGTGAACATTTGAAATAGGGTATTTCCCTCAATTCAAGGATATTGTGTTATGTTGCTCCACCCCTTTATTAAGAGAAACTATTTAGGATTTGTGTTTGGAGTTTTATTTTTTTGTGTGGAGATAGGATCCTGTGAAAAAAAAGCCAGTATCAGAGGCAGACTAATCTGTTAAAATCTTAAAACAACTTGAAATTTAATATTTTCAAGGCTCATTTTATTCAAAGTGTCAATTAGGATAATTACACCTACATTTTAGGGCTGTGGTAAGAACTAATAAGGTACTGTATGTAAAGCACCTAATAAGGTAAGCACCAGTAAATGATAGTAGTTATTACTATGATGATACATTTAGAAGTAGTGTACTTTTACCTGGCCATTTGCTGGAACTTTTTTCCCTTCTTTTTAGGAAAGACCTAGTTGAATATCAGAAAAATTGTGAAGATCTTAAAGAGCGACTAAAGCATAAAGAGTCTCTTCTTGCTGCTAATATTTCTAACCGTGTTGGTGGTCTTTGTTTGAAATGTGCTCAGCATGAAGCTGTGCTTTCCCAAACCCATAATAATGTTCACATGCAGACCATTGAAAGACTGTCTAAGTAAGTATGTTTCTATATGTGGAGTCTTTGGCAACATGGAAACTCATGTCTTTAAATGGGCACAGTAGTTTTTTATCCCCATGCTAAATCGCATGTTAAGCTTCAAATAAAATGGATTTTAAAAGGTCCCTTCATTGTAGCTTTCTTAAAGACAGAATATGTGGGTTCTGCCAACTGTGTATAGCCGTGTCATTTTGGACAAATAATTTTATCTTTCTTGGTTTCAGTCTCATCTGAAATGAGAGAATTGAAGTAGATAACCTTTATAATTCTGTTCATTTCTATAACTCTATAATTGCAAATCCAGCACTATTCATAACAAGACTGAGTTTGAGAGGAATTCTTTCGATTTTGCCTTATTTTGGATATCCCTGCTGTAGTATAGGTAAAGTGAGTTTTTATCAAGTTTTTATCATGTGACTGTTGTGAAGAATATTATGAGTACACTGGAAGAAGGGCCCACTATATCCCATTATTAGTATTTGAGATCGACTAAGGACAAATTACAAATGAGCTTTTATGGAGTCAAAGTTTTCATCTAGGCTGAAATACTACAGTTTTCTGTGTACATCTTTTTTGTTTTGTTTTCAGTATTCCAGAGGAAGCCCTTTCCTATGAAAATTATATTCTGTAGAAGTTGAGAATTATTATTTAATATACCATCCAATGATGATTTATAGAGGGTGTTCTCTCTCACATGCCTTCTACTTTTCTCTATGCTCAAGGTCACCTCTCTCTGTCTGTTTGGGTTCATTTAAATAGTTCAAACATCACTTCCTCTTAGAAGTATTCTCTCACCAGCCTCACCCCATTTTGTCCTCAATTGATTTAGGGTCTTTCCTCCTGTAACTTTATAATATATTGTGTATACTTGCAGACAGCAACTGTGCTTTGTTTATTTCTGTATCCCTGGCTTCTAGCAGAGTACCTGGCCTACAGGCATTTTGGTATTTATTGCTTAACATCAGAGATCGTCTAATTGGAACTGGTGTCAGGAGTCGAAAGACTTGGTCAATAAAGTTGGTTTTGAACTTTGGACAAATGACTTTACTTCCCTAAGTTTGGAGTCTTCTTTTGTTTGGGGGAATAATACCTACCTCTTGGGATATTATAGATGCAGCTTAGCCTTGTGACTAGAGCACTAGCTTTTGAGTCAGTCTGCCTGGGTCCATACTTTGGTTCTACTGATAACTTACTATGTAACCTCACAAAAATTACTTAATTTCTCATGCCTCAATTCCCCCATTTGAAAATGGAGATAAAAGTACCTAATAGTGTTATATTTGAGGGGACATTGAAAGAATACCTATATAGTACTTAAAACAGTTCCTGCCATATTGTAAATTCTCTATAAATATTAAAACCCTTCTGTACCTCGCATACTTTAGAAGCAGTCAAAATGTCTGGTAGCCATGGTTTCTACATATGACTAACCTATTGTCTGTTATATAAAAACTGAATTTCTCCAGTGGTAGTTTTCATGATCTACAGTGGTAGTCCTGCTTTTTGTTAAATATTATATTAATTCTTAAATATATTATTAACATATATATTTAACATAATGACAATTTAGTAAGTATGTTAAATATATTTTCAGATACAAGTAACGTGTGGTAAACATTTCTTATATGCCAAGGACTGTGCCAGATAATTTAAAAACATAATCTCTTTTAATCTTAGTAAAGCATTGGTGAGGTAAATACATTACCCTCATTTTACAACTAAGGAAACTGAGGCTCAGAGAAGTTAAAAATTTGCTTGTTTATATTTGAAAAAAAGAATGGAATCATACTTCACAAAAGTAAATTCAGGATGGTTTAAAGACCTAGATATGATTCTAGACTACAAAAGTATTAGAAGAAAATATAGAAAAATATCTTTATGGCCTTGGGCTAATTAAAGTTCTGAGCATGACGAGGGAAGTGAGAGTCATAAAGGAAAAAAAAAACTTGACTCCATTAAAACAAAACATCCTTATGATACAATATTACAAACTAAAAATATGGGAAAATATTTACATCTTATATAACACAAATTTTGGTACAATGTATAAATAATTTCTTTTGAAAGAAACAGAAAAGAAAAACTGCCCAGTTGCAAAATGGATATAGATTAGGAACTGGTAAGCAATAAAAGAGGAAGATAATACATGAGGAAGTACTCATGCTTTTTCTTTTAATTGAAGTGTAATTGACCCACAATACTATGTTAGTTCCAGGTGTACAACACAGTGATTTGATAATTCTATACATTTGCAAAATGATCACCACAACAAGTCTAGTAATATCTGTCACCATGCAAAATTATTACAATATTATTAACTATATTCCCCATGCTGTACATTTCATCCTTTTGACTTATTTATTTTGTAACTAGAAGTTTGTAGTGCTTATTCTCACCTGTTTTACTCATCCTTCCAAACCCCTCCTCTCTGGCAACCACTTGTTTGTTCTCTGTATCTATGAGTCTGTTTCTATTCTGTTATGTTTGTTCATTTGTTTTGTTTTGTTTTTCAGGTTCCACACATAAGTGAAATCATATGGTATTTGTCTTTCTCTGTGTGACTTATTTTAGTTAGCATAATACCCTCTAAGTCCATCCATATTGTTGCAGATGGCAAGATTTTATTCCTTTGTATGGCTGAGTAATATTTCATTGTTTATGTATGTGTATATACACACATACATCACATACTCTTTAATCCATTCATCTGTTGATGGACATGTAGGTTGCTTCTATATCATGGCTATTGGAAATAAGACTGCAATGAACATAGGGGTGCATACATCCTTTTGAATTTCTGTTTTTGTTTTCCTCTGAAAAATACCCAGAAGTGAAATTGCTGGATCCTATGGTAGTTCTACTTTTAATTTTTTGAGGAACTTCCATACTGTTTTACCTAATGGCTTACTAATTTACATTTCCAACAACAGTGCTCTAGAGTTGCCTTTTTTCCACATCTTTGCCAACACTTGTTATTTGTTGTCATTTTGATGATAACCATTCTGACAGGCATGAAGTGCTATCTAATTGTGCATTTTCCTGATGATTAGTGTTGCTGAGCATCTTATCATGTGGCTATTGGCCATCTATTTGAGTTCTTTGGAAAAATGTCTATTTAGGTCCTCTGCTCAGTTTTTAATCAGGCTATTTTTTTATGTTGTGTTGCATGAGTTCTTTGGATATTTACCCCTTATCAGATATGTCGTTTGGATATTAACCCCTTATCAGGTACATAGTTTGCCAATATCTTCTCCCATTCAGTAGGCTGCCTTTTCATTTTGTTGATAGTTTCCTTCACTGTGTAAAAGCATTTTATTTTGATGTAGTCACACTTGTTTATTTTTGTTTTGTTTCCCTTGTGAGGAGATATATCAAAAAATATTGCTAAGACCAATGTCAAAGAGCATGCTGGCTATGTTTTCTTCTAGGAGTTTTATAGTTGCAGGTCTTACATTTAATTCTTTAATCCATTTTCAGTTTATATGTGTTTATGGTGTGAAAAAGTAGTCCAGTTTGACTCTTTTGCATGTAGCTGTCAAGGTTTACTAACACCGTTCATTGAAGAGGCTGTCTTTTCCCCATTGTATGTTCTTGCCTACTTTGTCATAGATTAACTGACCACCTAAGCATGGGTTTATTTCTGGGCTCTCTGTTCTGTTCCATTGGTCTATGTGTCCATTTTTGTGCCAGTACTATATTGTTTTGATTACTGTAGCTTTGTAGTATAGTTTGAAATCAGGGAGTGTGATACCTTCATCTCTGTTCTTCTCAACATTGTTTTGGCTATTCAGGGTCTTTTGTTTCCAAACATATTTTAGAATTATTTTCTCTGGTTCTGTGAAAAATGCCATTGGTATCTTGATAGGGATTGCATTGAATCTGTAGATTACCTTGGGTACTATGGACATTTTAACAATATTAATTCTTTCAATCCATGAACAGGGGTTATCTTTCCATTTGTTCTGCCGTCTTCAATTTCTTTCATTAGTGTTTTATAGCTGTCCAATTATAGGTCTTTTACCTCCTTAGTTAGATTTATTTCTAGGTATTTTATTCTTTTTAATGCAATGGGAAATTGGATTGTTTTATTAAATGCTCTTTCTGATAGTTTATTGTTAATGTATAGAAATTCAGCAGATTTCTGTATATTAATTTTGTATCCTAGAACTTTACTGGATTCATTGATGACTATTATTTTTTTGATGGCATCTTGGGGATTTTTTACATATAGTATCATGTCATCTGCAAACAATGACAGTTTTACTTCTTCCTTTCCAATTTGGATTCCTTTTATTTCTTGTCTGATTGCTGTGGCTAGGACTTCCAATACTATTGAATAAAAGTGGTGAGCATCAAAATTAAATAAGTTGACTGTGTAGAATAAGTGGAGCTGCAAGTATCATCTCACACCGGTCAGAATGGCCATCTTCAAAAAATCTACAAACAATAAATGCTGGAGAGGGTGTGGATAAAAGGGAACCTTCATACACTGCTGGTGGGGATGTAAATTGATACAGCCACTATGGAGAACAGTATGGAGGTTCCTTAAAAAACTAAAAATAGAACTACCATATGACCCAGCAATCCCACTACTGGGCATATACACTGAGAAAACCATAATCCAAAAAGAGTCATGTACCACAATGTTCATTGCAGCTCTGTTTACAATAGCCAGGACTTGGAAGCAATGTAAGTGTCCATTGACAGATGAATGGATAAAGAAGATGTGGCACATATATACAATAGAATATTACTCAGCCATAAAAAGAAATGAACTTGAGTTATTTGTAGTGAGGTGGATGGACCTAGAGTCTGTCATACAGAGTGAGGTAAGTCAGAAAGAGAAAAACAAATACCATATGCTAACACATATATATGGAATCTAAGAAAAAAAAAAAAAAGGTCATGAAGAACCCAGGGGCAAGACGGGAATAAAGACGCAGACCTACTAGAGAGTGGACTTGAGGGCATGGGGAGTGGGAAGGGTAAGCTGGGAC